GTTATACAATATAAATCTAGATTAACCATTTAACAAGTAAAGTATTAAAAGTGAACAAGATAACAAATACAAAACATGTTAGTATCAAACTTTAAAATCCATGTTGAGTTTATATTATACTTATTCTTATACCATTAGTGTAACCTTTTCACCTTGGCATGATAAACTTAACGAAATATAATGAAAGAGAGAAAGATAAATAAACAAGATAAGAACATAAATAAGATATAAGTTGACTAAGTAAAGGAAAGGAAATGAAAAGTATAAACAAGATATTAATATAAGCAAAACTTAAGCATTATAAAAATACAAAGAAAGCAAAAACATGATCTTAATATGAAAACCAAGATGCTTAAATTCATGCAAATGTCTCCCTTTATAGGCCAAAATTTGAAACTATTGAATTGTTAACTAATTGTTAAGTGGGTGGCCACATCTTGACTTGGTGACAATTCTTATCTTTTTGTCTGAACAGAATATCATTGCTAACATCAAAATTTACACAGATTGTCTTCATAAAAGTTCTAGGAAATTATCTCACCTTTCCAACAAAAAAAACCAGTGCATTTGGACCTCTAAAATTCGAGATATAGGCTGAACACGGAATAGTGTCTAGGCTGCAAGACAGATTCGGACTTCTCCGTTGTTGCTACAATTTGAACTTGAAAACGGTCTTTTTGAATCTTGGACTCTTCATAAAAGTTTTAGGCCTATGTCTTAGCTTTCCATCCATATAGAGTAGATCTAAATCCAAGTTCTATAGCTCCAGTTATGATCCAATAACCGAATAATGTTCCAGTTTGGACAGAATCAACATCTTTTTTCTAATATTAGCTATCTCTTTATCTTCTCAATTTATGTGATAAGCTTGCATTTAAGATGAATATTTACCATAAATTAAAGGTATCTTATATTATTAGATATGTTATTATAAAATATGCTCTAGCTAAGGAGTTATTAATACTTCAAGTGCAAAATAATAATATAAAACTTTGATAAAAATGCACTTTTAAGTACTAATCACATGCTCAGCCATTCTTTCTTCAAATTCAGCCACTAGTAACACTCGTTTAAATCTTTGTACATCTTTGTACTCCCCAAGTGTACTACAAACCTAAACTTATAAGCCTCCTTCAACACCTCATTCTTAATAATCTTATCATCAGATAAATACATTCATCTTCCCATTACTATCATCCCATCTTTTAGGATTTGAAAAGTAGTTTCAACTTCTTTTATCATGTCTCTCACTTTGCCCTCCTCAACATCCATCTTTTAAGCTTTCAATGCTTTATCCTAAAGTATTGATCATACTTTTAATTGCACCAGCAAGGACCCCACCAATCCAACTTCCAAATCAAGATCATGCTCTTACTTTCTCTCTTTGTATTGCTTAGTTAACAATTTATAATCTGATTGGAACCTCCTTTATGTGTGGTTTCTAATTGAATAATAAGAGTTTATACTACATTTGTTTGACATACCAACCTTGATATTTATTGTTATCATTGTTTAACCCTTACGTTAATCTTTCATCTTAAAGTTCTCATCAACTTCTTCTTCTTCTTCTTCTTCTTTATTATTACTACTACTACTACTACTACTACTACTATTACTATTATTATTGTTACTTTTATTATTTTTATTATTGTTATTATATTATTATTATCCATAATTTATACAATTAACCTTCCTGTAGTTCGACCCCGGTCTTGCCAAGTTATTTATTATTTCGACACTCCTGCACTTGAGAGAAGATATCAATCTTTTGGTCATGTCACCTTCTTTGTCGCATATTCAGTTCTTTATATGTCATTAAATATCTCAAGCTTTTATAATCAGTAAAGATTTAAACTTAAGATTCATACAATTAGTGTCTCTATATCGTTAAGGAAAACCCCACAACCACTAACTCTAGGTCATGAACTAGATAATTTACTTTATGAGGCTTTAGTAGCCTTGATGCATAAGCCATTGCCCTTCTATGTTGCATTAAAACATAACCCATCCTTCAAAATCAAAAGATTATTTATCTTTGTCCCACCTTGTTCAACATCCTTCATGTACGTAAGGTAAGTCGAGCACCCTTTTCTTAATAGTTTCCAAACAGTCATAGCTAAAACTACATAATTTGGTAGAACATTTCTTTCTCCCCTAAAAGTTACCCCCTCCCATCTATTCCCTAAAAGGTTATTGCTTTTGCAAAGTAATCCATCTAAGCCTTATGTTGCAAACCAATCCATCTAAGCTTTATGTTCACCTAACCAATCAATTCCTAGAATTAAATCAAAATCATATAACTTTATATTCATTAGATTTAGCTCCATGTCTAGGTCCCCTGTGTTTATCCTAATATCTTTATATATATAACCCAATGAATAGTATAGTATCTCCAAGAGGAGTACTAATTACTCAAATAGTATCTCCAAGAGGAGTACTAATTACAAACCCTTTCTCTAACTTAGTTGGTTAAACTTTTAGTTTATTCTCCATCTAAGATCCTTTCACCTTTCTTCTTCCCCTTTAAATCTTTCCAAAATCCTTATTTTTAGTTTATTAAAACCCCTTTTAAACACTAAATGTTTTCTCTCTTAATCTTTTAATACCCTTGTAATCCCGCCAAGTTAACCCCTTGTGTGTGATTTTGTCAAGAATTTTAAAGAAAAAAAAAATCCACCTGCTTCCCCTCTCTAAACCTAGCTAATAGCCATAATAGAGAGAATGAAGACATTTATAATTTTAATTTTTTGTTATTTACATATTAGCCCTATAATCTTTTATATTTTACTTTTATCCTCAATGTTTCTTAATTGATTTTCCTTTAACAATTCAGTATCGTGTCATCAATTGCATTTCATTCAATTTCACTCCTATCTATTTAATTTAATTTAACTTATTTTATTTTCAAATTAAAATTTTATTAGTTCAAGTATTTTTTTAACTAGGGGTTTATAGTTTTGCTTTTTTTTTTTTTCTTTTTGAATATTCATTATGATTTGTTTTTCAAATTTGTTTTTATTGATTTCATCTTTTATTATTGAAATAGTTGAGAACTTGGCTTTATAATTTATTTCTTTTTATTTTATTTTTCTATAAGGGGAGCATAGTTTGCAGGTTTGCTAGGATAATTCAGGTTACTCTAGTTTACAAGTTTGGTGGTCTTTTTTTTCTAATTGAAGTTGACTTTTTTTATCATCTATTTTTTTCTCATATGGTTAAAAAAATATAGTTGAAGAAAAAAATCATGTTATTAAACTTTATGAATTTTATGGACTTATTTACTGGTTTAGTTGGTCAACCTGGTTCGTGGGTCTGACAAGTTTAACTCTTTTATAATTATTTTTTTTAATTCTTAAATATAGGATTAATTAGAAATTTAGTTTCATAATTGATTTTGTTTTGACTTTTATTAAGTTATCACAGTCTCAAAAAAAAATATTTTGGTATTGGGTTAGATGTTTGATTTTACAATCATATATTTTTGTTATCATATAATCAAATAAAAAATATTAAAAAAATATAATCTCAGTGAAGTCCATAACCTGGTTCACAAGTTTGAAGGGCTAATCTTGGTTACCTGATTTATAGGTTTGACGAGTTTATCTACCGATTAGATTATTATTAATTTTTGTCTTTTAATTTTTTTAATTTATTTTTTTAATTTTATCCTTTAATATTGAATTTGTTGATAAATAAATTGCATGATTGATTTTTATTTGCTTTCTATAGAAATAATTATCTCAAATAAGTATCTATTTTTAAGTTAATACTCAATTTTATAAATATTTATTTTTATCACATAATTAAATATAAAAAGTTATATAAAAAAAGTTATTAAATCCCATAAAATCTATAACCAAGATCATGGAGAGACCGAAGTTGATCCAATTTATCATTATTGTTTTAAACCAATTATCAAAGTTGCATTTAAACCCATAAAATTTATCAATTTTAATCAAGCTATTTCATTTTAATCAAGCTATTTCTCATATAATTTAATTAAAAAATAAAGACAAATAAAAAAATTAAGTCAAGAAATTAATCAAGTTGAATATTACTATTAAAAAAATAATGCATAACAAAACTCAAGTAATAAACCATTACCCTTCAGTGCAAAGTTCCAAACGGTGCATCAGTAATCTTCGGTTTTCTTTTCTTTTATCAAAAATAAAATCTTCATTCCATCCATAACAAATAGTTTTTTTTTTTTTTTGTTCTACCTGCTCTTCAAAATGTTTTTAAGATTATTTTTTACTTCAAAAAAATATTAAATATATTTTATATTGAAAAAACATATTACCAAAAACGCACAAGTGATCTCTGCGGTGCAAAATGACTCGGGCTGGGGTACTACATCTTTGTATGAAGTTTCTGCATCCACATCGTTTGGTATAAAATACATTCTATTTGATCACAATAAGAACAGCTCATCTAACAAACTACAGAAAAAAAAAGAATCAAAATCAAAATTTGAACCAACTCCTCATTTTTTAAACCCAAAAGATTAAATTTTAAAATAGAATTGAACTTGTAGAGTTTCATAGGCCTAAAATTATCCGTATCTGATCCGGAGGGTGCCTTGCCAGTGATTGGGGCTCTGCATAGCCATTCTTGGGATCCATTATTGCCGTGTAAATAAGCGCATAAGCTTCAGCAAGAGACCGAGCCACCTGTATCCCAGCTTCAGAGCGCAACTTTGGAACCTGCATCTGCTCAAATTCAGGAAGGGAACTCTCATTTCCTATAATAAGCCCAAAGAATGCCCTCAAACATTCTGAAAGAGACACTGGAGAGGTGTCTTCAATTTCCACCAGAGGGGTGCCAGCTGCTGTACCGCCCTCCTCGTTAAGTGACTTCTGGAAGTAGTGCATCTTTTGCGACAAGCCACATCTACTTAAAATGGCCTCGGCTTCCTTTTCTACAAGTGAATGCATGTGATTGTCAATCATTGCTCCCAGTTTCTTTACATAGCCAGCTGCAACCTCATGCCTGGATAGCGGTTGTTGGATGGCACATAAACAATTGATGAGGAATATTTTGGAAGGAGTTTCACTATTCTGCAAGGACTCATGAATCCATGATATTAGTTAATATTATAAATTAGGATGCAAAAGCCATTTAGAAGATTGCACAAATCTGCATATGTTTCGTCACTTAAAATGTTAGACAAACTACACCGGATGCAAATTGAGCACAAGCATCACCCTTTTGAGCTCTTTTTTGGCATCTTAAGATGTTCTTCATTAAAAAAGAAGAAGAAGAAGAAGAAGAAGGGGTGTATACATGCATTCAAACATGAGCACGATTGTAATTGCCTAGTTCTGTGTAACCACCACAACAGCTACCCTGAGATATGGTATTGAATGCTCAGAATTTAAAATGCAGGGACAATAGAGACAGTGAGGCATATGGTCATTAAGACAATGGATACATATAAATCTTAATAGAGAGAAAAGGATCGTGTTCAATCCTGACATGTTATGACTGAATACTAAGCTGGAAATGATTCAGTTTCCGTTCCTGGGGTTCCTTCCTTCACTGACTCAACAAAAGTATGTCATTACCTGGAAATTTCATCATAAAGATTATTCAAAGGTAGCTAATTTTAATGGTCCTAGATGCCACCAGTATACAAAATCAGGGGACTATTTGATATATCAAGCCTTCAACCATATAATGGCTCGAAATGCTCATAAAGCATACCACAAACCCACCAAGAAGTGTGAGAAGAGAGAAGTGAAACTCTAGGACTGAAAAAGGAAGACAACAATAAATGCATTGAGATAACAGGCAAAACCTTGGACAATGTTGCAGGGCTGTTATTTGACAAGAGAGCATCGACCGATGATTTACTAATTTGGCCCGATTCAGAACTTGTTCTTCTTCTCGATGCATGGCTAGCACCCTTGGACTTGTGTGCCTCTGCAGCTTGCTCACACATCTGTGATTATTGAAAGCAATTAGATGGAAATCAAAAATAACATGTTGCCTAAAAAAACTCAATGGAATCTAAGTTCTTAACAGAGAAAAACTAGTACTAAAATAGACGCAATACTAGCATGTTTGAAAAACATCAATCCAGTTTCAAAAGTAGTGCTGAAAGCAATTCACAACATGCTCAGAACATAAACTCATCAGAAGTTAAAGTAGTGCTGAAAGCAATTCACAACAAGCTCAGAACATAAACTCATCAGAAGTTAAAATGTAAGACCAATTGCCATTTTCTGTTTCAAATGCAATCACAGATATTTGTCCGGCGCAACTTTAAATCACATGGTTAGAGCCTAAGCACCTTTGGAAGCAGATAAACTTCCAAACTTTACACAGTGATTGTTATAGGTCACTTATGCACAACACAGTTTTAACATTTTCAGCACATCCACCAAGTTTAATGCAGTCCATGCACTTATTTTATCTCATGTTGAAATTATGTAATCAGGAGCATGTTCGCCATGAATAATGCTATTCTACCACTAACATCAAAGACAAGCACACCTGAATGATAGGGTCGAGTAAAGCAGAGATCACTGGATCAAAATCAGGCTTCTTCCCTGTAACAGTAACCATCATGCTGTTGTGGGTTTCAATTATTTCAAGCAGAACCAAGACTCCTTCCCTCACTGCTTTTGGTGGGGAAAGATCAACAGCAACAAGGGGAGGATATCGTAAAAGCTTCTCTCCCCGACTTTTCAGAATGTCGAAAAATGTTTTCTGAGCAGCATCCCTCAGTGCCCAAAGTGTATTGCACAGAACTGTATCTCTCCCAAGTAAATCAGAGATCTGAAGATCAGCAGAGACTACAGTTATTGTCATCAAGAAGGAGAAACAAAAAAGTGGGCGTGGAAAACAAAGATGAGTTAAACTCACAGTGTAGCTGTAAAATTCCAGTGTGTTACTGAGTTTACATGCAATTATTAGACTAGGTTGTGACTGCAAAACTTGTTCAACTCTAACTTTAAATGGCCGGCAAACTCCTTCGAGAATTCTATCCAGAACAAATGTTAGGTCAGATTCTGTCTTTCCAGTGCCATTCTCCAAACTCTTGGAGAATTGGTTTACGGTTGATACAGTATCTACCAATGCATCAGGGTCAAGTAGGACAAGAACAAGTTCTCGTTCAGATGCCAAGGCCTGCAAGTGGAGCAAATTGACATAAAATTATTAAAGAATGAAACTGAGATTAATATGTGCATGGAACTCGGCCAAGCAGAAAATTAAAAGTACAACACAATCAGAGATGACTCCAAGTCGAACCTGATGTAACCATCCTAGCATGTCACCTACATATCTTAACGGATCATGAGCATGAACCTCAATAGGTCTTGGCATTCCACCAGGTCCTCCACGTGTAAGAGCGCTTATAAATCTTCTAAACAATGCATTATGCCTCATATTTGCTACCTGTATAAATAATTATGAAAAATAAGAGAGGGAAAAAAACAGCATTTGACCATTAAGCTATTCGTCATTAAGCTTTGCCACATGAGAACTACCTCTTCTGCACAGTACTTAAAAAGAGCAGGCCTTTCCTTGAGCCAACGGACAGCTGTTTTCAAAAGCTCATCAACTTCAGGATTATCACTGTCACCCAATTTCCTACACTCTGCCTGAACCCACCTACATAATTATACATATGCATAAAGGAACGATATCTTTCAAATTAAACCATACAAGACAGGCGAAAAATTTAGAAGAAACGAGAAACAAAGAAACGGAAAGCAAGAATTCATTCCTCATAGAAAAATGAAACGAGTGATTCTAAAAAAAAGTGTTTGCCTGCAAAGGCGCTCATAAGCTCCTTCTTGGTAGACAGCCATCATATCCATGAGCTCCAAACCAGCACGCTGATGGTGGGTACGCAGCAGAACCTTGCAGTTGGCGTGGATTTGTTGAACATGAGAAAGAGCCTTGAAGAAGTTGTCATCGAGATCCTCATCCCTAAGAGCATTGATCTCTTGATTTGAGAGCTGGTAATCGCGAAGGAAACAGGATACAATGTCTTGTCTCTGAGTGGTGATTTCTAGTTCCTCTTTGAGCCTCTCGGTGGTGCTGATAATATCACCCGTACTTGCACTACAACTACTCAAAGCCTTGGCAATACTGAAATGAAAGGATGTTTTTATTTATTTAATTATTTAATTTTAACATGGAAAACTGAATTGGAGTAAAAATCAGGAAAAGAAAGGATAGAAAGTTACTTATCGCAGCATTCGGCCAGAGCGTTAACCTCCTCCTCGACACGATCCAAAGCCTAGTAATAATAGATCAATTCAACTCAGTTCAAATTACAGAGAAATAGATGTATAGGAGGATTCCGAGTTTTATTGTATAGTTTACTTGCTGGGCGGTGTGGGAGGCTTGAAGAAACTCGTGATTGAGGTGGAGAGAGCGGTCCTCGATGGTGGATCTGAGGTGGCGACGTGACTGAGGTGTGTTTTCGTTGTAGAAAGCGGAAAGAGTATTGAGCGAAGCCACCAGATCCGGACTGTCCGTCCGACATTCCAGCACCTTCTTCAGCTTCCGAGAAAGTCCCGGAGCCAATCCCACCGGCGCTCCCATTTCCCGTTTCCGTTTCTTGATTCTGTTTTATCTGGTGATGGAGGAATTTTGGTGCTGCTGCTTCATTTCTCAGTTTCCTTATAAATCTATAATAATTAGATGTGGATATGGGCTTTCCCAAATCCACTAAACTCTCAAATTTTAGACCCGTCCAAGCCCACCTCTGCCTAAAAGGGCCCTTTCCCACCCCCTTTTTTATCCAACCATTTCGGCCCAGCTAATTCCCTAGATATATTTTAAGCGACCCCCTGGCCACGTGTATCAAACAAAACAAAAACTGCATTTGAATAAAACTTTTATGGGGAAACTTTATATATATATGTGCATATTTTTTATCCTATATTATTGTTTATTTAACAAAAATCTGAAAAAAAAAATTATTTCAGTTTCGTGTCCATATTTATACACTAAAATATAAAATTTTCGGTTTCGTGTCCATATTTATACACTAAAATGACATCAATTTAAGAAAATATAATAAAGATATTGATGACAGTTAACAAATAAATTTGATTAAGAATTGTAGGACTTGATTGATAAAAATTATAGATATAGGATTTGTAAATAAATTGGTGTTTCTCCAAAATCATTGTCCACTCCGAAGAATAACTGCTTGGGCCTAATAGGAACCCAACTCGAAATGCAGATAATCTGCACATTTTAAACAAATCTACATTAATTAGGCGCCCATCACCAAGTTAATTATTAATTAATGTAGCTTCCACGTGTACACAAAAATATTTAAAGGTCACCCCTTCCTTTGTTTGCAGGAAATTCCTTGCAAAATGAAATCAAGTGCATTAGAAATCATATTAGGCACTGTTACTAAATCAGGTTAGGACATCGACTGGTTTAAGTTAATGGGCTATCTGTCACTAGTTTATTGGTCGGTCCACTATAGTATAAATATATTTTATAACATATGAAGCATGAATAGAAACTTGAGAGCTGGTAAGTGCATTATTTTTTAACTTGAAAGTATAAATTAGTTATAAAAAATATTAAATTGATATTTTTCAATGTTTTTTAGTTAAAACATTTAAAAAATAAAAGTTATGCAATGTTGAGTGAGCGAGTTTGGTAATACGGTGTAAGGTATTTTTATAAAAATATTTTTTAATTCAAAATATATTAAAATATTTATTTTCATAATTTATTTTATATTCATACATCATAATTATATTTAAAAAAATCTAAAAATCATCAAGTTTAATGTTTTTTTAGATGAAAAGCACTTTAAAAACATTTTAAAAAACAATTTGATATTTGATATAGTACATAAAAAATTATAAAAAAACTAAACAAGTTTTTTATTACATCAAATATTTTTATAACATCTAATATATGTATTTATATTATTATCAATAAAAACTATCATCATTATAATTATAATTATAATTGTAATTGTAATTACTTTACATTCACCATTACAATTAGCTTTGAAACCAAATACATACTAATTGCTGGTTTAGGAATGCTATAATTTAAAATGTTTTTTTAAGATATATTAAAATAATGCTATAATTTAAAATGTTTTAAAATAATATTTTTATTTTATTTTTTATATTAACACATGAAAATAATTGAAAAATTAATTTAAAATTTAAAAAAAATAAAAAAGGTTTCAAAAGTAAAGTTATGCCGCAGTGGCTATCACCACCAAAGTATAGCTAGCTTTACCCTCTCTTTCTGGCTATCACAGTGCATAAATAATAATGCCATAGGCAATGCCTATCACATATTTATTTGGCTATGGCTAGCTAGCTTTTGGGATCAGATTTCCTCTCTTTATGATATCACATCAACTATGTCCTCGTCATGTGCTTGTTAATTCCCCTTTTCTATAATATTTCTCTTTTTAAGTCACCACAAGTTCACAATATTTATATAATTATAGCTTTATTGACTAAGTATTTTAATTGCCTATATACCCACAAGTCAAGTTACTCCCGCAGTTTTTAAGATCAAGGTGATTAAATATGTGCAGTTCTTCTTCTATATAATAAACCTCTTACTGATTTTATATACTTTGCATACATGTATTGTACGTGGTGTGAGTATGATACAAGAACCACTATTAATCTTTTGGACATTTTTTAATTTTTAATTTTTTTGAATAATTGGACATCTTTTATTGATGGATCGATTTCAACTTTTTATCTATATCTACTTTATAAGCATGCAACTATATATAATAGATTATAAACAGGACACCAACTATATAGTACTATAGTTCTTCAAAAAAAATTATATATATTACTATAGTTTTTAAATCAACAACAACTACTACTGCTACTTTCTCTCTCAAATCATCATTATTCAATAATTCCCATTATAACTTAGCTTTTAGGCGTATAATGCAGATGATGTAGTTAAAGATAATGTAATATATATGTCAGTTAACCAGTTGTTGGGTTGTTGTCTCCATCAAACAAATTAAGTGCTTGGTCTTCTGCCCATTCGACTGGTCCGCATCATGCTTATATGTGAAATTAACTGTATAGATATTTTTTTTATATTTAAAAAATAATAAGTGGTATTTTATTAGTTATTTTTTAGATATATTTTAAAGAAAAATATAAATACAAGTGAAAATTATATATTTTTATTTTATCTTTTTTATGTTTATATTTTTAAAGTGAGTTTTATCAAGTAACTATATAAGATTCAATAAAATATACTTGGTTAATCTAAGATTCGATCTCAGTTTTGATAAGTTACAAGTGTAAGTTATTCCGGGAGTGGCAAGTTTTGATAAAAACAAAATCTGGAATTTTCTCTTTATTTATTTTTTAAAATAAATTTCAGATCGACGAGAGATGCTTGATTATATACGATTTGAACTTGATTATGTACAAATTACGTGATGTACTTGTGTTAGTTTTGACAGTGAAAATCTAATGAAATGATAAATGAGAGACACAACAACTTTTTAAGAATAGATTGCAAATAATTAAATCTATAAGGATGGATTAGACCCAATCCTTGAAATATATACGTGTGTGTGTGTGTGTCAAGTCATTTTCCCTTGTTTTTCTTGTTGCGCTCATTAACACTATAAACTATAGAGAAGATTTTTTGTGTGTGTGATCATTGTTCATCAAGACAGATTAGCCAGCTTACCCAATTGTTCATAGCCGATTTTTTTTATGTGTAATCATTGTTCATCAAGACAGATTAGCCAGTTTACCCAATTGTTCATAGCCGATTTTTTTTTCTTGATCCCTTATTTTTTTTTTTTGATTTCTTAAACACCAGTCACCACACTTAACTTCTTTTCAATCTTATAATTTCAATTTTTTTTTTCAAGGTTTTATGTGTTGGTATATGCTTTTATTATTCTTCCGCATGTCTCATGTGTCATAGAAAATAAATATATATTTCATAAAATATAATTTATATTCTTTGTAAGAAAAGATAAAATATAATGATGAAATTGACACTAATAAAAAAAATAATTGTTTCTACAAAAAAACAAAGGAAAGAAAAATTATAATTTTGCCTTTGAAGTCTCAAATTATACATGTTTGGTTTTTGCTATTTTAGATTCATTATATTCCAATCTAAAAATTTATTATATTAAGATAAAAAGAGAAAATGCTGACTATTATCTATATTTTGATCACTAAAAAGATAGGGAAAAAAGATAGGAAAATTCAATGGTGGTGATTTCATCATTTAAACATATAAAAAAAATAGATATGAACTTCATTAATTTATTTTTTATTCTATTTAATTTTATATTTTTAAATTGATAAGAGAGTGTTTTAGACTCTAAAATATATTTATTATGATTTTTATAATGCTTTTGAGATTTAAATACTCGTACCCTGACTTTCCAATCATTGAAAGTAATCAACAAATATAGAAAAAAATGATATGTTGGTTGTTAAAAAAAAAAGTTCAATCTTAAAATAAAAAATATTTAAATACTAGGCATGGGAGCTTTGTATTTCATGAGCATTCACATTTGAACTTTTTCTTACAGACGGGACTTGCGGACTGGTCTTGAGAGACCTAACAACGCAAAAAAAATAAAAATAAAAAAAAATAAAAATTATTTTTTATTTTTGGTTTTTTATTCAAACCCCTCTTATTATTTTTAAATTATTTTTTATTTTTTAAAAAATATCAATTGATCTTTTGGATTATTTCTATAATTTTATAATACTTAAAAGATATTATTTTAACTCATCATTATTTTTTGTCATCTTAAATTTTAAGTTGATAGCTTGTATTTGCATTTTTCATTTATAATTATGAAAATCATATATATCTTGGGAGTATAATTAACCTTGAAGATAAATAAGAGAAAATGTATAAAATGAAAAAGGATAGTCGAGATAAAACTTTTACATGTATATTTCTTTTATTTCTCACTAAGAAAATTAATTTCTAACCTAGGTCTTTAATTAGCATTAATGATTTCTATTCAATTTGTTGATTTTTATATTTTTTTAATTCATTTACTAAACAAAAAAATAATTAATTAAAAAAGACAAAAAAAATATGTTTATAATATTATTACTGTTTTCTTCTTCGTTAAAAAATTAACTTGAAAAATTAGCTACATTTTATTGTGGGTATATTATTCTAAAAAGAGGGAATCTACAGTATAGGAAGATCTAAAAAGATAATTAAGGTTGTTAAAGCAATAATTAGTGGAACATGTGAGGAAGAGTGATGGGAGGCTTAAAGTCATCAATGACCGAACCAAAAGATGAAAGAAACAAATCAGTACTCCTACGACTATAGGCAAATAAATTATAAATTAGTCACTTTAATTTTATAAAATAAATTAAAAAAAAATTTTATTTTCAAAAATTAATTAATTAATTACATTTTTTTTATTTTCAAAAATTAATTAATTAATTATTCCCTTAACCAGTGTCAATCATGCTTAATTTAACACACTCTCTATCTCATCATTGTAGTTCCATTTGCCAAAAAAAAGAAGAAAAAGAAGAAGAAGGAAGCACCAACAATTATATATTAATTTTAGTATGTTGTTGTTTCTTTTTTTATCCCTAAGTTGCCTATATTCATATGCATTCCTGAATGGTGAATTTAAG